AAGGAGGGTGCAGAGCGGCAGAACCCCAACTGTCTTCACCCCTCAGCCCAGGCTCTCACGCAGGAAACCCACCCCAGCACCGGACACCCTGGGTCAATCACGCTGAGCCACAGAGACCGGACATCTTGCCCCTCCCAGAGCACCTGCAGCTTCACAGGAAACAAAGGAATGACTCTCCAGCAGCAGAATTCCAGCTGAGCCTGGAAGGCGCTGGGGGGAGGGTGGGCGAGGCGGTGGGTGCCTCAAGGTCTTGGAGTCCCCTCACCCATCCCTCCAACAGATGTTCACCAGCCAGGCCTGGGGGGCGGGGCAAGCTGACACACATCCTATCTGTCCCCTTGGCAGGCAAGAAGTCCTGAGGTGGCTGTTCCTTCCTTTTTACTCAGGGAGAGCGGGGCTGATTGGTGGGATGGCTCAGAGCCTGGGCCAGGTTCCCCCCCTCCCATTACACAGGGGTGCCAAGACAGCCTGAGTGTTTCCACAACAAATTGGGCGTCCCTGACAGCTGTCTCACTCATTGCCAGATATACCGCCCAATTCCAGATGTGGGGAGAACTGAGGCTATCGAGGAGGGTTGGGCGAGCATCAACCATCCAGGGGAGAGCTGGGGATTGCAACCATCAAGCCCCAAGAATTCAAACTTGGCAACCACAAGACCCCAGGCTCCAGCTGCCCTTGCTCAGCTTCCATTTTAATGCTCCCAGACACAGCACGGGTGGGTGTCACTACTGCCTTTTACAGAGGCAGAAGCTGAACCTTGGAGACATTAAATAATTTTGCTGAGGTCACCCAGCTAGTTGAGAAAGGGCGGGCACTGGTGCCCAGCCACTCTGGGCATCCTTCAGAGAAAATGACCTCCCATCACAAGGAATACTAGACCGCTCCCTACCAGGGGTGTTCAAAGAGCAGCCTGACCTTAAAATCGGGAGACTGACCTTGAATCCATCTCCTGGGACTCCCCTACTGCTATACTGCAATTGAGGTCACCAATGTCACTGTCAGCCCGGCTTCCTATCCGGCAAATAGCTTAGGGTTTTCCTCAAGCACCTGGACACAGTGCTCCCAACAAGACCAAACACCAAGGGTCTCGGGCCCCAGGCGTCCGCCTCCTCCCATCCGCCCAGCACAGCCTGCGCAGAATCCCCCTCGAAGGCCTCGGGGTCTCCCGGGGTCCCGGGGCGGAGCGGCGCTCGAACCCGAGTCGCCAGGTGGCGCCCTCGCTCGCTCTATCCCCGCTAGTCCCCGAGGCGTCCCCGCGCGCGCCGGCTTCTCCAGCGCGCCTCCAGCGCCAGGCAGGCGGCCCCCAAGGAGCAGCACGTTCGCGTACCAGCTGCAGATCGTCTGCGGGATCTTCTCTTGGGGGTGGGGGGGATTCTGTGTCACAAACAGACAATCAGGGTGGGAAAGGGACGATCCGGGTCGCCAAGCTCTGGGAGGAGCCTTCCCCGCGCTTTCCGGCCTGGGCGATGTCCGAGTGACCGTTCGGCTCAAAGCCAGAGCTCCGGCGTGCGGGCCCCCGCCCCTGGCTCCCACGGGTCCGGCTCCTCAGCCGCAGCTCAGGTTCCCGCGCCGATCCCTCCCCGCCCTCCGCCGGGGCGCAGCCCAGCCCAGCCCAGCCCGGATCCGTTTCAGGACGCTCGCGGCCGTGGCTAAAGATAGGAAGACACCTCACCATCCGCTAAAAATACGACCCCTACCCCGGGCTGCGGCGCAGGGCTGCAAGAAGGCGCTCCCGAGCCCCGAGGGTGAGGTAGGGTGGGGTGGGGCTCGGGCACTGGGTGGAGTTCGGGTTCGGGATGCACGGCGCCCAGCAGGCGGAGAGGACTCGGGTGTGGCCGCTGGGACCGAGGCGCGGGTGGGAAACACCGTGGAGCCCGAGGCTCCGGGGAAAGGACCGGCGCGGAGGTGAGATGGGAGCCGGGGTGCGAGCTGTGACGGAGCGCCACAGGGACGGCCCTCTCGGGGGACCCCTCAGGACCGCGGACAGGCCGCAGAATCCCAGCGTGAACTCACCTGGAGCGCGCAGGCAGCGGACCCGCGGGCGGCGAAAGCTCCGGAGCTGGACCCCGCGGCGGCCGGAGCCGATTCCGGCTGTGAACTTACGGTGCGGACCTCGGCCCTTGAAACCCCGCCCCCGGCCGGCGGGACCAATGCCCGGGCCGCCCGGACAGGCCCCGCCCACAGCCC